GTGTCTGACTTTTGATAAAGAATATGTGACATTTTTTGTCATCTTTGTCCGTCTTGAAGCTCACGTGTACAGGCAGTATAATATTAAAAGTCAATAAGGCCCATAATACAGAATTAATTTTTAGTATGCTGTATGTTTGTTCTGAATGGGAGAGTGAGATGTGTTTTTCCCATTTTTGGAACATAAAAGAAAAGTCTGATCAAGAAAATGTAAAGATTATCCAGTGCAGTGTTTTGGATGCGTGATAAATAGGTGATTCAGGAAGTAAACAAGAGGAAGCATATTTTTCCTGAACATTAGAGTAACAGGCTGTGTGGATAATGACATTGAATCCTTCTGCAAAACCTTCCATCATGCAAACAAAAACTAAACATCTCAATTAAGCAACACTATATTCATAGTATAACTAAGTAAAAGTGAAATATTCAGGCGTCGGCAGAGAAGATGTAGTGACCAAAGCAGGAGCATAAAGAAGTTATTTAGCTGTTTTCTTATTGCATTTCCACATGGATGGACTTCACAAAAAAAATGCTACACTACTGTTTCAAATTGACTCAGGGTAGTCTGACCTGTAATGTTCTATAGAAATTCTATTAAAGCTATTGAAATATTAAAAGTTCAAATGAAATGTGTTTTGCTTATAAGAGCTTAACTGATGCCAGATTTATCTCAAATCCCCAACCAATTGTATTTTCAAGCATTGGTTTAAAACCAGAACATGGTGTTTCTAAAATGTGCTGCATCTGTATTAGACAAAGATACGCAATGTGGAGCATGATCTCTTCTTTGAGGATGAGTAAAGCAGCAGCTACGTGATTATTGGTGAAGTGACATCCGATCAAAACGGGAGTGGGGGGGTGGTGTACGGTAGAAAAAGGGAGAGAACGGAAAAACACTGAGGAGGATGAGAGAAACGCTGAGGGAGGAATCTTAGAAGGGTTTTGTACAAAGACAAACGTGAATTCTTTCCCAGGAGGGGAAAAAAATACGGAAGGAAAAGGAAGGAAGCAGAAACAGAGATACCAGCAGAAAATCAAATGAAAAAGAGGAGACGGCGCGTGGCTGGTTCACACACAGTGCAAAGGTAAACCCCAGTGAGGTGGAGTATGACGAACAGACCAAGCAGCAGCAGAGGAGTCAGTGAGTCCGACAAACACTGTGTAATCTCACACTCCCCCTGGGATCAACACGGCTGAACTCACCATCAAAGCAGCAATTTTTCATTGTTTCTTTTGCTCTTTGTTTGCATTTCATTACCCGTCCTCGTTATTTTTTTTTCATTCTTTTTTTTTATAGCAGCAGCTTCATCGCTCATCTCGCTACAAGTAGAAAGGTGGTAATTTTATTCAGCCACAAATCTCACAAAACAAGCAAAATATCTTGCATTCCTGTGTGCCTTTGTAATAAAAACTTCGTGATTCAATTTCTCCTCCATGTGTAATTTCATTTCAATGGGGATTGTAAATGAATAGCTCCGTGCTTCTCCCTCGGTGTCCCTTCTACCAATGCACTCTGCTTTCCCTTTACCTCCTATATCGGTCCGATCGGCCAGTGGACGCTCCGTGTCCGATTAAGACTTCCCAGACATTGATTTTTATTGGCTGTGTAATGGTGCAGAATCTAAACACTTATCAGCGTCAATGTGCTCTATGTAGTAACAAGCTGTTAGGGAACGCGGAGGAGGCGATGGGGCATGGAGAGTTGGAACGGGCAGTAAAGCAGTAGATCCAAGAATGGAAAAGAAACTGTGTGTAGGGTTTGCTTTTGGCTTTGCCTTGCCTGCTTTGCGTTAGTGACAAAATACTTTTGAAAGTTGGTGCACTGTGGTGAAACGTTGTACCATTCAGAGGGGTTTGGCCTCCAAACGCTGGAGGCTCACAAGGGAGAAATGCTGAATGTGGAGAAAATTATCAAAGTTCTAACTTCACCCAAACTAATTCTAGCTGGACCTGACCTTCAGGTTGGCTAAAGAGAGGATGGTTGTGTCAGATTTTTGGGTTTGGGTGCATTGTGTCCTCACCCAGGTGCACTGGCTGTTCCACTGCGACCCTCCGGTTGACAAATCTGTGTATAATCCCGTAAAGTTTTTAATCCCGGGGTCACATTTTAAAAATGGATGAGAAATTAATCTGCTGTCATGTCGGTCAGGTATATTTTGACAGTTCCAGTGCTTATTTTCAACCAAATCCTTTTCTATGATCCAATACGGCCCAACCACCAACCAAACCCACCTAAATCCCTTTGTACAGACTCCGTCAAATGTTCTCTGTCCTTTTGTCCTTGTACGGTGAACATTTCATTAAAATAACAAAACACCCAAAGCACAGATCACAAAAAGAAGTTTTCCCTGATCTTCTATGAAGCAGCAGTGATGAAGAGACAGAAAGCGTCTTCAAAGCCAGAACAGATGCTTTTGCGTTGCTGGCAAACAGAAACTTAGAAGTTAGAAACTTGGTCACACTGTAGAAATGCGTTATTTCTTCCGCCTCCACATGGATGCAAACCTCAAGTATATTTTGTTTCAATGTCTGCCATGTTTGCCATATCTGCCTATGCCATGCTATGCCATGCATATGTGCTGCAGTAACCGGGCTAATTTCATTGCTTCTGGCTGAGTGGATCAAGAAGACCCACATTCACTGTTTTTCTTCTGTTTTCTCTCCCCCTTTCATGCACTAATCTGCACAAAAGGCAGAATTAAAGCTCTGCTCCCCGGAGCCAGCATTCTCTTTTTAGATTGGTAAAAGAGGAGAAATTGGGAGGACATGCTTATTTTGTGGCAGAGGGAATTCAGGATTCACTCTGAGGTGAAAGTTCTGCTTTAATCTGTGACATTTTTTTAACTGCCACACTGAGCAGAGGCTGCCATAAGAAAAAACATGTTTTAGAATTTCCATTTCAAAATAACTGTCCTCTGCTTACATTTAGTTGGTCGGTTGTAGTGAATTTAGTGTAGTGAAAAACACTTTTTGTATTATCCGGCCCCACAGAAGTAAAATCGTTGAGTTTGCATGTTGCATAGAAATGTGTACGGATTGCTGTGTTAGGACACAAAATTTGAATGCCAAATATTCCATTCGCTTCAACATTTTTGAACATTCACCAATATAATATTATATCATGATGATACTGGAGAATAAGACTTTTTATACTGCAGAAATAAAAAAATAAAATGTTTGTTTACTGCCTGATGAATTAAGAATATTTGATTACATTATAGTTAAACATTAGACTTTGCTTATTAGTGCTTACATTTAATTATGGAATATTTTCCCTGTTATATTATGTTAAGCATTAAGTGTGTGCACATGTTAAGACATTTAATTGTAATTTTTTTTTGACAATTAAACATCCACAAAATGGATGGGTATAGCATATGATAACTTTAATAAAAAATCATCTTTTAATCCTGAATAATGATGGATAGCGTTATGATGAGGTGGCGCACATAGCTCATGAAAGTAGTTTCTTTGTCATGTAAGTGCCTTCCAGCCACACAGTACACATCCAGGGAGATATTAGGGTGTCTCTTTTTCGGAGACTCACATTAAGAGAGGAAATACGTCTCTAACAATCGCTGCCTTCACCCTTAGCACCTGCAATCACATGAAATTGGAGGTGTTCCTTTTGCCTTGTAGTCTTAAAATAGCTTATGTGCAGCATGGATGTCTTCTTTTGCAGTTGTCAGGATGGGTATAAGGCCAGTAGGACCTTGAGATTACTGCATTTGCAATATTTTAGATGCGCAGATCTATACCAAAGTGTGCATATTTTACATACCATCTGCCAGCCTCTGTGTGGGCTGTAACCTGACTGTCACGACTACAAAAAATGCGCTCACAGGTAGATTGTAATCTCTGGTGAGTATGACATAAATGCATGACAGCATAGATAATTGCATTGGAACATACCTGAACAATTTTGCCACTTTGCTGGAGTTTAAAAGCAAGCTGAATTCATCAATCAAACACTATGACAGTTGAATGCAAGCATTGTGCTTTATTTTTTTATTATTTGTCGAGGCTGGTGAATAATTTACCTTTTAGTTATGTGATGCCGTCAGGTATCCTTCTGTTTTACAGGTTTTGTAGTTGGAAATAAAGGACAAGCTAGATTCTTAAAAAAAATACAGATGCAGAGAAAAGAGAGGGAGACCAATATGCATGAGGCACCGCATTGCATCAGATTGAAGTTGACAAACTGTCTTTTTTTTATTTTTCAATTTCCGTTAATTTCATGACTTTCATGAGGGAGAATTCTCGGGTCTTTGCTGAGTTGGAGATGGAAGTGCTCTTCAATTTCTCTCGGTTTTGCAGGGGAATCATGAAGAGAAAAGACCTTCCCATATCACCTGCAACGGTCGGCATCACACATCTCATATTGTCTCTCTGTGTCTTTATTTCATTAGCAGCATCTTACCCTTGTGTGAGCATATTCTTAAGCGCTTTCTCTTTTTCCCCCTTGCTCCATCTTTTATTTTTGTTCTGACCTTCACAAGGAATACTCAACCTTCCCCTCTCTTCACGCTGCTTACTTACATCCTTTATCAAATGAGAGAAAAAGGATGAGCAGAGCTGAAGAAAGGGCAGCGCCGTCATTATTCAAAATAATAATTGACTTTATTACTGCGGCGTACAAGGCGAGTCCCAAACTAAGTTCATAGTAAGAAACTGAGAATATAGCCCATCATAAAGGCTGGGAGCAGGGATAGACTTGATGCACAGAGAAAACAAAAATCCTTTCTCTGTAATGTATCATAAGAATTGATATGTCTTATTGAAGCCGCATCAGCAGTACAGCACATTGCAGACGGATGAGGTTCTGTGCAAGGTGTGTCCTGCAGTGGGGAGTTTTTTTGAGTCAGTGGGCGTGGCTAAGATCTTCACTGCACCAAGGCAAAACCTCCACTGGATATATATATATACAGTAGGCTATATCTGTGTGTTAGGTCAGGCAACACAAGTAGTAGCAGACAAAAAGTACTGCACCTCACACAATGCTGGTGTACATGAATCCCACTTTTATTTTCCACAGAAAAAAATGATGTTTCTTTTTTCTGGTTGGTTTTGGTTACATTGAAACCACTATGAAAAACTGTAGCACCGGAGCAGATTCCTATTGCCCATTCTTTGATAAAAATGTCAATTTGTGCTATTTTTCAGTTTTGATCAGCTGTGATTAGGGAGAAACATTTACTTGTTGAATATAAAAAGAGACTAGCATTTCATTTCTTTTTCCAGTCATTTGCAAAATAAAATGGAGAAAACTATATATACTATATATTTTTTCTGTTTTCATTTAAATCACAACAAATACATTTAAAGCAAATAAAAAATTGGGAGGCATTTAGCATAATCCAAGCAGGGTATCAGCTTTCATGATGATTATTATATATTTATATATTTATATGTATACATATATATCATGTTTATATACACGTATGGCACTTGATTACACAAAAGCAAGAAAAACACTTCACAAATAAAAGCAGTGGGCGCTTTGGTGTGTCATAAATTAAGGAAGTCACAGACGTTAGCATGTGCAGCAAATTCACCAGATATTGTTTTGCAAGTCAGCTCTAAAGCAATGGAATGGTTACATATGTTAAGGTCAGTGGTGCAACACAGGCAACATAAAATATGAATTACGATGATGTATTTCAACTATCGGCCGTATAGCCAGTAAGGATGTTTATTCTATGCAAATATAAATCTGGATGATAGCACTGTCCTTTAAACACTGTGTATGATGCCATTTAATTAGATTGATGCCAAAAACAGTTAGAAAGAAAATGTCTTAAAAACACCGTCAGGTCAGTAGCACATTTTGGATAAGGTCAGGCCCTCAAGTGTTCACCTCGTAGTGCAATTTTTGCATTTACTCTCTTCAAGTACAGCAGAACAAGCCCACAAAGAGTAAATGTGTGAACACGTCCATTAAGCATCTTACAGAGTATAAACGTTACTAAAAAGTTGCATCAGTGCAATAATAAATGAGTCAACAAACGTGTAACCCACACTTGCCATGAAGTCCCTTAAAGACCAACCAACAAATCAAAGAAATCTGCCCACTCTTAAGGTCATAACGCGAATTAGGCGTGCGAGCTGTCCATCATGTCCATCATGGTTGTGTTTATGTTTTTTTTACATGTTTTCGCTGCTTCTTTTCCATGTGTTACACATAAGCAGAGTCACTGGACTGAGTGCGGCCGAAATTAGGCACACTCATCCTCGGCAAGTCCTTATTTCTGATCTCATAAATGGACTTCCGCCGAGCCTGCACACCGCGCACGGCGGTTTTGATTTTCCTCCAGCCCAAATGATTGAGTTCCGCCAGGTTCAACACCACGCAAAAGCCGCTGACCGCGAACATGAAGACCAGGAACACGGTCTTCTCCGTAGGTCTGGAGACGTAGCACTCGACATCTTTAATGCAGGGGTAGCGATCACATTCATACACCGACGGGACGTTGAATCCGTACAAGAAGTACTGACCCACCAAGAAGCCGATCTCCAGCGCGTTTCTGAAAACCACCTGGATGATGTAAAAGCGGGAGATGCCCTCTTGTCGCCTCATTTTGGACTTTGTAGTTCTCATTGCCGAATTTGGGATTTCCTTGACTTCTAAACAGTCCGGCTCGGCTTCTTTGGTGGAGTTCTCTGTGTTCTGAAGTACTCCGTTAACAATGGTGTTCTTTATCTTTTTGCTCTCGTCTCGCTTCAGTGAATCTTGATCCTTATCTAGCGTCAGATAGACTGTTGAGTACCGCCGCTCCTTCTGCTTGGCCGATTGATGCACCGAGTACGTGATAAAACAAAGGCTCGGGGTGCACACCATGATGATTTGAAAAACCCAATATCTAATGTGTGAAATGGGGAATGCCTTGTCGTAGCATGCCTGGTTGCAGCCCGGTTGTAAGGTGTTACAAACAAACATGGTCTGCTCGTCATCATAGACAGTCTCTCCAACTATTGCTACGATTAGAATCCGGAAGATGACCACCACTGTTAGTAGGATCCTAAAAAGCAAGCAAACAAACAAACAAACAATGTGAAAATAAGTGTAAATATATGTGTGATCACTGATACAAATGTGGTTCGGTTGTGCGCCGCCTCGATGGCTGCAGCGCTCACAGTCCAATTCGGGATGTGTGAAATTTGGGGAGCTGTCCAGTGCTGAAACAGGACGCTCTTGAGAAGAATGAGTGTGTGTGTGCGTGTTTTCTTCTTTTTTTACTGTATTCTTGTTAATATGCGCGTATCGTGTCTGTTTGGTGTGAGCTTTCTGATTAAACGGCTGGAATGAAATGACACGTAAACAATTGCCATTGCTTTAATTGTGTAAATGTGTGAGCTTTGTCAACCGAGAGAGGTAACAACGCCGACTCTCTCTCAATATCTTTCTGCCACCCGTGAGTGCACAACCACCACACAAACTCACCAACACCAAACATCGAAGGGATAAGTGGAAGGCTGAAAACATTAAATGCCGTGAATTTTAGTTTGGTTTATGCGGGTCGCAACACCATCCAATCTTCTGAAAGGACAGCTGTCAACTCGTTTACTTAGCTGGCTCGGTTTGAAGAAGGAAAAAAAGGGAAAATCTGTGAAAGAAGAGAGAAAAATCCACAACACAGACACGAAGCACTGGGCACCATGCTAGAGGAGATCCTTGAGGCACAACACAGAAACGGGGGACTGGGAACCATGCTAAAGACGATCCTGGAGGCTGCTGCGTTTCTTCGGTCGTTCTTGGTTTCTGTTGATCATCTTACCTTCCTATCATAGTAGAGTGCTGCTGGACAGCAGCCTCCAGGAGCCTCTCTAGTATAGTCCATTCCCCCATTTCTGAGCATCCGGAGAAGACTAGCGCACAACGGCACTCTTTTCAAATCCCTCCAAAAAAAAACGCGTTATTTCCCGTCCTGTTTCTCTCTGGCTCGCGTGGTTTTCTGTCTCCAGAGCGTCCGGTTTTAGCTCAAAAAATGCATCCGTCACGGGATGCTGCTGCCGTCCCCGGTTTTTTCTTCGTCTCTCTGCGCGCTATCTGGTTGATTTTGTGCTGTGCGCGCAGCGCCAGTATGCGTCCTGCTGTGTGTTCCGAGCGCTCCGGCGACGTTGCCACACTCTTGTCATGGGAGTCCGAAGGGCTGATTACTATAAGCCCTCCTATTTTCGATCTTCAGGTCAGGTTGATGGGCTGCGCGCTGCGTCTGGATGGAGGGAGGTTGGATTTAATGTCTTGCCAGCGTTAATCCGCCTTTAAGTAGTCTCCCCCCCTCCCATGCGTCACGTACGTGCAGACAGGTTGGTGGAGCGCAGCCAGGAGCACCAGGACTTCTGATTTTCAGTATTTCAGTTTTATATGTACAGTTTAAAAGTCAGTGCATGCAGTTGTGTACGATTGCCTCCACAGTGTTTACGTCTTCTCCATTTTACGCATTTTCCCATGGATAGCTCCAAATGAGAATCAAACCCCCAACCCTGGGCGTTTGTTATCACACTCGACTCACTGAGCTGCAGAACCACATGTGCACTATAGCGATATTGATCATTCCGGGTACAGGGTCATGGTGATCTCCGTCTTTTGATTAGTGTAATGCAGATTTGAAAAATAAGTGCAACCAGGCCAATATATGTGCACTACCACAATATTTTAACAAAAGCTTGTGATTATATCCAAAACATATGGGGTATGCAACTTAATAAATGGAGACAATCTTCTGTCTGGGAGCGGACTGCGTTGCTTGCAAGAACAACCCCTCCCCATTGTGCAGGCTGCTGGCCCGGCTGGTGGAGCTGTTGTTTTTACCTCGGGCAAAGATGATGTTCTGCAAACAGTGAGTGAAAGTACCATCCGAGTTGCAAATCGCCGCCTGCCTGCTTGCCTGTCTGCTTCTCTCTCTCTCTCTCTCTCTCTCTCTCTCTCTCTCTCTCTCTCTCTCTCTCTCTCTCTCTCTCTCTTTGTGTGTGAGTGGAGGTTTAAAAATAGAAGCAAAATATGTGACCCCGCCCTGTAGCTCTCTGATATTTGATCAATTTAGAACGCTGCATTGCACTAATATAGGCTATTGCGTGGTTTGATCATAATTATTAGAATGCAAGTCTCTCTGTCTATATCGGTCTGTCGTATTAACATACATTTGTTATTTTATTTATTGCATTTCTGATCCGTTATCCTTATCCGTTTTTTTTTATTTTTTATGAAATAAAATAGCCATATATTCCATCTATTATTAAAACCATATAAAATGTATCCAGTAGGTTTACAGCTATATATGAGAGTATTTAGTTTAATCTGGGAAACTGGGGATTATTGATCACGTGACAGCAGTGTTTTACTCAATGAAACATTGTGCGGTTAATTTCTCCTGAGGTGGCTTATCCGCTCCGCTCACTGTAATCTTTTCTAATTCAAATCTTTAATAACCTTTACTCATCCATCACGTGACAGAAGGACATAGCCTCACTGCTTTCGAGAGACGGAGGGATTTTTATAGATCCTAAACCGCCTCTTCAACCCCCTCCCCATACGGATGAGACTTAAATAAATAGACACACGTTTATTTATAAACCTGTACATGGCCACATATAAATGCACTTCAATGTAAACAAAGCGTTTGACGACAACACACAAAGTAGCTCTGGAGCCACACATTGGGTTGTTATCACAAAAAGGTGACTGGAGGTGAGGGGGGGGTCGTCTGGCGCTTAGAAACACTTCCGGTGGACGATGGAGGGTCCAGCCTCGTCGTACTCTTGCTTGCTGATCCACATCTGCTGGAAGGTGGACAGAGAGGCGAGGATGGATCCGCCGATCCACACCGAGTACTTCCTCTCAGGGGGGGCAATAATCTAAACACAAGCACAGGCGTTAATCTTGGAAACTGGAATCTGCTGCGGGGAAATGTCACATTCATATTCAGAGAGCCCTCGGTCACCTTAATCTTCATGGTGCTGGGAGCAAGAGCAGTGATCTCCTTCTGCATGCGGTCGGCGATACCAGGGTACATGGTGGTTCCGCCGGACATGACGTTATTGGCGTACAGGTCCTTACGGATGTCGATGTCACACTTCATGATGCTGTTGTAGGTGGTTTCGTGAATGCCAGCAGATTCCATGCCTGGGGGGAAACGCGGCGCAGAGTTTAGTGGCATTTACGCCCCGACGCACGTCGGATCCGTCGTCAGCTGTCGTAACAGGTGCTGAAATGGACAGCTCCGCCACGGAGCGCCCCGCGGTGTGGATGTGAACAACAAACCCCTGGTTGGATCACTTATGTCTATTTACCAGATGTGTAACCTCGAGGGTCGATTGTCTGGTGCAACTTTTTAAATTTCGACATTACTTCCATACTGTTTTAAAATGATTTTCTCATTATGCTGGATTGTCGTTTCTTTTTTGTTTTAATACAATAATATCCTTATTATGTAGAATAACATTAGACACATGTCTCACAGGAAAGGTATTTGTTTACAAGGAACATTATTATTCCACACTTGGAGCAAACTTGAAATTAAGTTAAAATGATATTTATATATAAGTCTTCGATGTCATGCGCGCGTCTTTACGCACCAACAAATGAGGGCTGGAAGAGAGTCTCCGGGCAGCGGAAACGCTCGTTGCCAATGGTGATGACCTGACCGTCGGGCAATTCGTAGCTCTTCTCCAGGGAAGACGAGGAGGCTGCGGTGGCCATCTCATTCTCAAAGTCCAGAGCCACGTAGCACAACTTTTCCTTGATGTCACGCACGATCTCGCGCTCAGCTGGAAGGGAATTATAATTCAAGTCAGTAAATGTAAATGTATATTCACAAAAAAGTGACCAAAAAAGCTTAAGTAACGTGTGTAACAGAGGAAGGAAAACACTATATGGGTGGATTATAACACGTGCGGGAAAGTATTTTCAAATTCTTTTTTGAATTATAAGTACTTTCTCCAAAAGAAAAGTACATTTCCGTCAACCAGCTTTAACATGGGGTTAAAGGAATGGAACAACAGTAACATTCAGTGGCAGCTGGTGGACAATTTTCAAAGACTATCCAATCAATTTCAGTAAACATTCCACAATCACTTAATGCAAAACCGTGAAGGTATCAAAAATGCGATACAAATTTGTAGTTCAGTGTTCAACATTAATTGCAACACAGAAAATAGTTGTAAATAAAAGTTTAACAATCTTATTTGTGTCACCCTCACAGGCAATTATATATTTATATATAATCAGCAATTAGCTAAAGTGCTTTCTTTCAGCCAAAAGGAGCATGAAGATCTGCGTGTCATAGCACGTTCTGTATCATATTTTACAAATAATACTGCCCACATTCCATAATGAAAAAAACATACATTTTGTCATGTTTTTATAATTTAATATTATCTTTTATTTGATTTTTTTCTTCTGTTTTTTTGGGCTCAGGGAGGGGCACGCAACTCTTCTAATGAGCAGGCACCACTGTAACATTTATTTCTTTTTTGAATGTTTGGATATTTTGGGTTGTGGTGTCAATGAATGAAGTAATGATACATTGAACATAAAGTATTGTTAAATGATACTAGCAAAGTATGAATGAATAGTCCACCTACCGGTTGTGACGAAAGAGTATCCACGCTCAGTTAGGATCTTCATGAGGTAATCTGTGAGGTCACGACCGGCCAAATCCAAACGCATAATGGCGTGAGGAAGAGCGTAACCCTCATAGATGGGCACGTTATGTGTCACACCGTCACCAGAGTCCAGCACAATACCTAAATAAGCATAAGTGAACATTTAGTTCTATGAATTGAATCACTGAAAAAAAAAAAAATCGCATCAACCCCTCATTTGTGTACCTGTGGTACGTCCAGAGGCGTACAAGGACAGGACGGCCTGGATAGCCACGTACATGGCAGGTACATTGAAAGTCTCGAACATGATTTGAGTCATTTTCTCTCGGTTGGCCTTTGGGTTGAGGGGGGCCTCCGTCAGCAGGGTGGGGTGCTCCTCTGGCGCCACACGCAGCTCGTTATAGAAGGTGTGGTGCCAGATCTTCTCCATGTCGTCCCAGTTGGTGATGATGCCGTGCTCGATGGGGTACTTCAGGGTCAGGATGCCTCTTTTGCTCTGTGCCTCGTCACCGACGTAGGAGTCCTTCTGTCCCATGCCAACCATGACGCCCTGATAACGCACAGTGGAACTATGTGATGTGGTGGAGAACTTCTACCATCACAGAGTATCATAACGACCAGGCCACGCAGAATAGAACTTTCTTCAGAATAATTAGTGACCAGTTTCCCTATAAGTTAACAGCTGGAAAGAGAATGCTTACTATTGGTGCGCAATTACGCACTGCACACCTACTCTGGTTGTGTGATGTAAAAAACTAAGTGATGATCATTGAGCTTTTGTTGACTCTATTGAGTAGTTTATTTTACCTGGTGACGGGGGCGACCAACAATGGAAGGGAAGACGGCGCGAGGTGCGTCATCCCCGGCGAACCCGGCTTTCACCAGGCCGGAGCCGTTATCACACACCAGGGCGGTAGTCTCTTCGTCGTCACACATTATGTCAGCTCTGTAACACACACGGCGGTGCGTTCACACACCCACACAGTGGCACTGTTAGATGCGCTAACAGAATCATCGGTTTGTTTGCTATGAGTAATTTCCATATCGGACACAACGAAGCCAAATGACAGTTGTGGCTGATGCTGATATTATATAATTACGACGTTCAAGGGTAAGTATGATAACTCACTAGGGCTGTAAAGCTGTAAAGTTAGTAAAGTTTTGGTTAGTTTTAATCTGCAAAACGAAGCTGATGAACTGCTGCCGATGTTTACAGGTGATGAGTTTTAGTAAGATATATTTTGCAAAGCAAAGGTGCAAGTCACGGTCATTTGTGGTATCGATAGTTTTGTTGTAAATCTTCTGTAAGTCATGCACAAGCCTACTCACCAGATCAGCACCGATCGCCGGGTCTTGGTAATGTGTAAACCGGGGGTGTCAAACTGTCACGCCGGACCAATTTATAGCCAGAGACGTTTCCATATTTGGTAGCCCGTTGCCCCACTGACAACACGCACTCCATGAAGGGCATGGCCGATAGACCCCCGCGCGGACATCGGTGCCATGGCGCCAATTCAGGACAGCCACAGATTTCCCTTTGATCTTTCACCTATAGATCCAGACAATATTATACTTACAAAAGTTTTTTTTAAAATGTCTGGTCTCAGTATAATATAAAATAGCCCAGCTTTATCGAAGCCAAACTTGAT